TTTATTAGTTTAATCCGATTTATTATTAGTCTAGCAGCCAATCAATCTTTAACTATATTAAAACAAGTTTATGCTCCTGACTTAGAAGCAATGTTTTATTCTTGCCAATCGATCCATAAATTTGTCGATGATCTATCACAGAAGTTTGAAACAGCACAAGTCACTACAGATGTAGAAACAATCCATCGAACTGTCGTCAAATTAGAAGTAGATTTATTAAAAAATTGGCTTGCTGATACTCCAGACAAATACAATGAAATTCTCTACTTAATTGAACGAAAAGATAATCATCTCTGGCGATATTCAATGAAAATATTTTCATATATTTTACAAAAACTTGATCTTCTCGAATCTGTTCAAAAGTATCATGGTCAAATTCCTCATAGTGATGATTACATTCGTCTAGAAGAATATTTACAAAGTTTTCATAGAGAAAGTGACAAAATTGAGCGATTATTCGTCGATCGAATTCATATGGATTTAATGCTAAATATTAGTGAAGAACAATATGCTGATCGATTGATTGACCGATGAATACAATCATTTCGAAGAAAATGTCCATTCTATGATCGTTCTATTAGCAGATGAACAACAACGATCACGTCTTCGATCTATTGGTCTTCTATCTTCGTTAAAATACTATACTCATATATATGCATTTGCTTTAAGTAACGATTGGTATCTGGAGTCCATTTAGTGCGACATTGAAACTGTTCATTCTCAAACAGCTCATACATATGAGTAATAGTACATTGAATGAAATCTGTGAGAGATTTCTTCAACATCAAGTTCTCTGGATCAAACTATTATTAAATCGTATTCGACACGGTAAGAATGAAATACGAGAAGAAATCATTATGCCAACACCATTATTTGATGGACGTGATGGATTTCTACGTGTTAATGCTATATTCAATGAATTGGATGATATCAATCAAATCCGTGCACTCATAAATGAATGTGCACAGAATCAATCGTTGATGTACAGCATTTATATGTGGTTTTTACAACGTTATTGTCAATTTCATTCTCCTAAAGTACAAGCAGATGAAAACTTATTAAAACTTGTACGAACCGATTGGAAACAGTCTCTTTTGACAATATGTGAACCGATTGGTTATGAACTAATTGTTTCACTTTGGACAATTTCACTCCTACGTCATACTTTCACCTTCTGCCGACCATGTCAAAAAATGAATTGCATTGTCGTCTACTCGCCTTGAATATTACTATTCTTTGTCTATCAACTCGGTCATTACCGCAATCGACCTACTTGGGTTCATTATTATTCAATAATCAACGACAAATGTCAGTTTCCTATATCGATCATATTCAATCTATTTGCCTTCTAGGCTTTGTTTTCGGTGATCCAGTAGCAACACAAATGTTAGATGTCAGAGCAAGAATACAAGAACGTCTTGATACCGGACGGATAGTACGTCAAAATTCATTTATTTATCAATGTTCATAAGAATGTCAATGGATGTTCTATTTTGAAGATTGTGGTGTCCCAAATTCTCGCAGTCGGTGTCCACTGTGCAAAAAAGATATCGGTGCGGAACGATATAGAATATTGGTTGCTCGTCAACCACCTCAAATTCAAATGACAATCGATCAAGGTTTTCAAACTATTAATCAATATCTGGATATATTCAATCGATAAGTACGTTTAGGATATTACAATCTTACACTAGCAGATCAATCGATCTTGGGAGAAAAATCAGATCATCTCAATCGATCTGTTTCCTATCGTTTCCTTCATTTGCTTACTCATGCTCAATTATTAGTTTTATTCGAACTAGAATATTTATCTGTTCAAAATCTTCAGCAACAAATGGACATTCCTAATCAACGTCATTTTCAGGAACATTTAGAAAAATATTATGAATTATTATCACGAACATGTACAGATCCAGAACAATGTTATGTTTGGCTTTACAAATTGATCAATCATATTTTGTTACCAACCTTAATTCGATTAGGTTCAATGGATACACAAACAAAAGTAGTGGACATAGAACAAACGATTGAACAGACTATTATCTTCCCACATATTATGTTATTTACCGATGAAATCAATCAATATCGTGTGGCCTATGCAGAATTTATTCGTGAACGTGATGCTCAACCACATCTAACAGATTATATTGATGAACTACGTGAAAAGGAACAACTTTATCCATTTCTCTCCTTTTTTAATTCGAGCAAAATTATTACTACAAATCCATTGGATGAATTTCGTGTCAAAATGGACACATTACCATTCTCCGTTAAACTCTATCCTGTGACTACATTTTTATTAAAACGATTAGATAATTATGCAAATATTCAACATCTTTATCCTATTGTTGAATTTACTAACTATTTATTATGTAAATATAATTATCGAATTAAACGAAATGATGCTGCCATGAAAACGGTTGAAGACTGTTTAAATGAAGCACGAACAGATCGAGAAACAATACGCATTCTTTTTAATCAATTTCTTCATGCTTGGTATAAACTTGACCTCAAAGAAGTTCAAGCAGGTTGTCAAAGACCTGCTGTTGACCGACCTATGACGGCTGCGAATTTTGCACGTGATACCAGTTTAGCATTACTCTTAATCAATACTTCGAAAGATGCTAGTAGTCTTCTTGTCGTCGCCTATTTACATACGTTGAGTAAGATGCAAAATGAAATTATTGGATATTTTAATAATACGATTTTGAACGAAAGGATTGATTTTCCACATATACGAGTACAGGCAATCAAAGCAGAACATGTCTTTCGATTTGATGCTCATGAATTGAATGCGAAATTAGATCGAGATGGGTTTATGATCAATTTCGAATATGGGAAAGGACGAGATTTGATTTATGATTTTGAAGAAATTGAAATTACATTACGAAATCTGGTTAGTTGTTTTCATGTTCTCGATTATGAAGAATTACAAGTATTTAACTATCAATTTGAATTATATGCAGAAAATACTTCATTGATCACTCAAATTCGACGACGTGTTCAACAACAACCATTGCCAATGAATGAGCAAGAAAAATAGAGAAAACTACTGATAACGATGAATAATGACGAAATTATTCCTTGTAAAGGTTCATTAGATTATATCTTCACCTATTTGTGTAATGAAGAAGAAAATGAAGTTAATGGTACTCTTCAAACATTTGTAGAACAATATATCGGACGACAAGCTTGTCTGCATGAAAATGTGTTTCGATGATCACCCTTTTCCACCATACCACTCATTTATATTATTGCTTTCTATGAATCGATTGAAGAAATCGCCTTTGATAATGTATTGCGTACTTATGTCAAAGCCGAATTACGAGATGCAAAATGTCCTGATGAGACTACGTTTGATCAATTTGTTGCCCAAACTTATGGTAAAACTGGCGTACCAACCGTTCTACAATCACCAGCTGTATGGATAGGAACACTGAAACGATTGTTAATGCGTGTTTTAAGTGCTAATACGATTCATTTAGATACACCACTACAATATTATCTCGAACGAATTGATATGTGGAGTGGAAATATTACCGAAGAGCATCTGCAATCAGTGGAAATTAAAGAGACATTTTTGCTTCAACATACTTATATTATATTATGTGAATTGGATTCACGAGAAAAAGCATTGTATCAAACTGAACTACCTGTTACCACAGGAAAACCAATATCAAATATTGAAGACAAAAAATGAATGCTCGAAAATATATAACAACTGCTGGAGGAACATCAGTGAGAAAAACGGTGCCTAGTAAACCACCTGCAACAAAATCTGATAGAAAACTGCGTATTTTATAATGATATTTTTTTTTCTTTTTAATATTTTATTAATAAATCAGAAGTACAATTCTCATGATTTCTATCACGTGCTCAAGACAAACGATTTCCAACATATCTTTTACACTATCTAGTCTTTCTTTCTGTTGTGTTGAAACCGTCATTTCAAAGGATTATTTGTCAGATGATACATTTCTAAAAAAAAATGTTTTGAACTCATTTCCTAGATGAAGTCAACGATTCACTGACACTTCCGCGCAATACATGTTCGTACGCCAATAAGGGTGAGGGTGTGGGTGTGCGAGAAGAAAAGACTCACAGCCACATCCACACCCAATCATGAAAATTTGTATTAATTTTTTCAGCAATATGCATGAACTTTTCACTAGAAAATACGATTTTTTAAAAAGTTGAACTACAATCGATACCAATTATGCAAGACTTCATCACACTTAAAAACCAATGTAAGTGTCGGATGCTACGATATAAACTATTATGACACTCAGAAGTCTGAAATATGTATCTTTTCAAAATGGGATATCCTTACTGCATAGTCAACGGATCATTGCATATTTCTGTCGAAATAAGTAAGATGTATCTCATTTCATGTTGGAACTGCGCGTAGGCTGCCATGTTGAAGTTGTTCGACAGAACAATCTCGGTATACGTCTAATAGAAACCTCTTTTTAATTCCTTCAAGTTCGACTGTTTCCCGAATGAATATGTCACTTTAACCATCGTTTTTTATGTCCATTACTAGATCACACAAGTACTCAGACCAGCTGAATACCTGAATGGGAAATATAGTGTTCAGAGCGCGTTAGATTGTCGATCTAATAGTATGAAGTCGGAAACGAACTGGTACTCAGCTATGGTTTCTACGAAACCGTGATAACTACTTCTACAGTTCTCCGAGAAACTGACAATTTTGATTTATTAGTTTTTAAAACACTTTATCCTTGTGTGCTAATTAAATCCTAATAGCAGCATGAAAAACATCTATCGCAATACGAGCCCATGTTCAAACTTCTAATTTCCAAAACAGAATAAAAGCCTACTGAGCTTTTATTCTGAAGAGACGGGTGGGAGAAGGGGGTTAAGAGAACATCAGGACTTAAGGGTATCCCATATAATAGGACATGAGGACCCAAGGGAATATCCATATAATAGGAGATGAGGAACCGAGAGTACCTGCAAATAATAGCATACGAGGGCCTAAGAATACCTTCATATAATGGGAGATGAGAACCTAAGGGCCTCCACATAATAGCACATGAGAACCTAAGAGTACCTTCATATAATAGTACATGAGGGCCTAATAGTACCTCCGAATAATAGCACATGAGGACCCAAGGATGCCTCCATATAATAGCACATGAGGACCTAAGAGTACTTTCATATAATAGTACCAGTAGTGTCAAACTTGAAAGTTGAATTCAACTATTCAACTATTCAACTATTCAATTATTGAATAGTTGAAGTTTCAATTATTCAACTATTCAATTATTGAATACTTGAAGTTTCAACCATTCAACTATTGAAGTATTCAATTATTCAATACTTGAAGTTTCAACTATTCAAGTACTCAACTAGTCAACGACTGAAATGCGACCAGAATCCTCGAATATCGACAGGTATTGTCTGCGAGACTACAAGTATCCCCTATGATGCTGCGAGGATCCCATAGGATGGTAACAAGTATGGCCTAAAATGCTATAAACATCCTCTATGTTGCTACAGGCATTCTCTTTGATGCTACATGCATCCCATAGGATGCTACCAGCATCCCTCAGTGTGCTACAAGCGTCCCCAGAATGCTACAGGCATTCCATAATATGCTACCGGCATCACCAAGGATGCTACAAGCATCCCATAGAATGCTACAAGTACCCCCTAGTATGCTACAAGCATTTCCTAGGACACTACAGGTTTTGGTTCGGATGCTGCAGACATTATCTGGGATGCTACAGGAAGGATGTGAGAAGCTTGAGCTAATGTGCAGCACTGAGCAGGAATAATGGTGTACACAGAGACGTGAATGGGTCGGGGGGCTTCGCACCCTCACGCCGCGACGCTGAAATAAAAGGTGCGTTAGGTGGGGAAGCGCGCTTCCCCACTGAATATTCCCAGAACACTTGAAAAGTTAAAATTTGAATAGTTAAATACTTGAATAGTTGAATACCTGAATACTTGAAACTTCAATTATTCAATAATTGAATAGTTGAAACTTCAATGATTCACTAATTGAATAGTTGAACTAATAGTTGAATACTTGAATTCAACTTTCAAGTATTACATGTATGGTTTTCTCCATGCCCACACCCACTACCCACACTCAACCACACCCACACAGCCACACCCACACCCACCACACCCACACTCTGAATCATGACTTTGAGTGAAGCTTTATCATAAAGACTTAGATTCACCATCTAGTTACAAATAGGCATGCACCAGATCCAAGCCATTTGGGTTTGGTGAGTTTGGGTATTGAGTTTAGGTTTGGGTTTGGATTTGAGTATATGGGTTTGAGTTTGGGTTTAAATTTGATTATGGCCCATGTATCTAAGCTTTTAATATACGTCTGTTGATCAAACTCAAACTCAAACTCATATGCAAGCCCAAACCCAAACCCAAACTCCCAAACAGTTTGGGTTTGAGTTTGGGTTTGGTGCATGCTTAGTTACTAGTCATTGAATGGGTTTTTTTCCCATGATAAGAAGAAAAAACATTGAAAGTAGATAAAAGAAGCCAAAAAAAAGGCCTCAAGAAAAAGATTTTTTTGGCGAAATAGCTTATGACATTATCTTTGTTTATATCGTTCTTTCATCATATCACTTTAATAG